TGCAGCAGGTGCAGCTCGATGAGCTCACCCACCGTGCGCGAGAACTCCGTCTCCAGCAGCTGCATCTTGGCCGCCGAGGGTCCGGTGGCCTGCAGTGGGCGGGAGACACAAAGGGAGGAGGTGAGCATGTGGGGAGAGGTGGACACCCCTCCAGTCTTCAGCAAGGTGGTGCCACATGGGGGTGGGAGCAGAAGGCCGAGCATCTGCAGATCAGCAGGGGCAGGGCTGCCCCTCACAGACCACCCAGACGGTCTGACCGCACCAGGCAGCGCAGGGCCATGGGGGCTCAGAGTCCAGGCTGTGTCCTCTCAAGGCCACCGGACCCCGCCCTCTTCAGCCTCAGAACTGCACAGCTTGATGGAGCAGCCGCGGTGGTGACAGTGGCGATTGTGGGGCTGATGGTGGTGGCGGTCGGTGGTCAATAGGGGATCGTGGCGGTCAGTGGAGGACACGGTGATGATGACAGCTGCAGCAGCCAGGGCGGGGTGGCGGTGATGGTCATGTGGTAGTGGGGAGGCAGTGAGGGTGCTGGTGGTGACTGTGATGGTGATAAAGGTGGTGGTGGTGATGATGCTGCTAATGGTGTTGGTAGTGTTGGCGGTGGTGATGGTGACTGTGATGGAGATGGAGATGGGAGGTGTAGTGGTGATGTGGTCCTGTGAGGGTGGCGGTGATGGTCATGTGGTAGTGGGGAGGCAGTGAGGGTGCTGGTGGTGACTGTGATGGTGATGGCAATGGTGGTGGTGATGGTGACTGTGGTGGAGATGGGAGGTGTAGTGGTGATGTGGTCCCGAGGGTGGCGGTGATGGTCATTCTGATGGTGGTGGTGGTGGCGATGACCGTGGGCGGACGCACTGCTCTGGGTACTGTGTGGGGGTGACCACGAGAACACAGGCACGACTGCCGTCCCGCTGTACAGAGCGTCAGACACTGAAGACTGCGTGTCACACCCTGTTGTGTGCTCCTAGACTGACCTCACCTGCCTGCCCAGCAGTCCTGGGGCTCAGCGCCTAGGAGAAGAAGCCCTGCTCAGTGAGGTGACCAGGAGCCAAGTGAGGAGGTGGCCACCGAGAGCCAGCCCACACGAGGGGAGGGGACAGGTCCAATGCAGCCCTGTGGGCCCTGGGGGCAGGGCAGGTGGACCTGGAGGCCCTCTCTCTGTGGAGTGCAGGAGTGGGACGGGACATGCCCCCAGGAGACACGCCCAGCGATGCTCAGCCGCCGAAGGACTTGTCCGCCTGCCCCCAGGCGGCTCTGGTCAGCTACCCCCTCGACCTGCTCTCTAGCCGGCAGACCAAGCCCGGGCTCGTCGAGCTGGCTGGTGTCCAGGGGCCGGGGCCTAGGGAGGAGGGGCCAACACCAAGCACCGGGGAAGGGCTCTGAAGACGGGAGCACAACCAGCCCAGCGGAGCTGGTGAAACCGCCCAAGGACCGGTGCGGCAGCCCAGGCTGGCCCAGAGAGCACACCGGGCCACGGGCACGGTGCACATCATCAGCAGGGGACGGGACCCGCACCTTGTCCTTGTCCTTTCCTGGCAGCCCTGCCCCTGGTGGACACCAGACATAGGAGCCCCCCACCCACCACCCTGCACCCCGAGAACAGGGGACTCTGGGCAGCCCTGTTCCTGATGGACACTGGACATAGGAGGCCTCTCCCAAGGGGGACTCTGGGCAGTCTCAGCAGGAGCGGTCCAGGGGTGGGCTGCAGCTCCATCCCCCCACCCCCCACCTGTCTCCAACTTGTAAGCGCTGTCCCCATGCCAGGCCTGTCGGGCGGCTGCCCCTGCCTTGTTTGTTCCTGTGTTTCCTCGTCCCCTGTCCCGCTGCCCGTAACACACTCAGCCTTGTCAGAGCTCAACAGAAACCAGGTTTTCAACAAAAATACGAGAAACCACACTGACCTTTTACCAAGAAAACCCTCTG